AACTATAATTTCTTTACATTACAGATTGTTAGTAATCTTGTCAGATATACAAAGTGACTCTTGACTTATTTTTGAGATTTAAAGGGAAGGAACTATCCTGGGAGTCTGGGACACTTGAGGTTGAGTCCCAGCTAAGGCATTCTGTCACTTAGCAAATGCACTCAAGCTGTAAATTTTCCTGTCTCTAACTCTCCTGTGAAAAGTCTGTTTAAGGAAGTCTGTATATAAATTGCTTTGTAAGTTCTAAATGTCTTTGTTTCTCTGTCTCTCAGAGAATATTTTTTGTACTGATGGCTCAAAATTGAGGCATAGGTTTGACTAGCTTCTTTTTGTATTATTGAATATGTATGCTGCTGTGTGTAACATTATCAGTGGAACATAGCAGATTAATTGCTGGCTGTTTGCAGTAAACCACAGCTGGTGCAGTGATGGGAAACACAGAGTGCATCTTTTGCAGATGGCTCTGGAAATAGTCTTCTTATTTTGCTTCAACTCCTACTGTTTATGAGAGGGACCATGTTCTCTTATCACAGAGATGGCAAAACCCTCAAAAGGTAACTGAGTTGCCTTCTAGAGCACCAAGCCCTCAGAGAGCACTAGAGCTGTGCTTGGAAACACACAACAGAACTATGAGGGCTAGGTTAAATTTAATTATGTTGCCAATAGTTAATAGTCAGGAAGTGTGTAATGTTGTTTTTCTTTGTCCATGAATTAGTAGAAGATAACCTGCTCTTCAAGTTAATATCACTTTATACTTGATTACATGTGCATACACACATAGACAAATCTTTTACACTGAACACTGATGAATATGGATATATACTTGATTACATGTGCATAGACACAGACAAATCTTTTACACTGAACACTGATGAATATGGATACTGTTATATCATAAAAAAAGAAAATTACATAATAGAATAAAGTTCTTATAACAATCAAGTTTGACTGATAATCCTTTTTTTCCCAGGCTCTGTAAACTTTGACTTTTCAGAGTAAACATCAAATAATAAAGACCTAATTAAATATTGAGGATTTGAGGAAAATAAATGAATCTAATTGTTCTCCTTTTTTCCTTATTTTTGGCTTTGGGAAAGTGTTGTAGCTGACTGTTAAACCAGATAACCTAAAAAAGGCCTGATGCTCTATTACTCTACAGGTTATACTAGTATAAAGGTAGAGATCTAATATGTTGGAAAAAAAAAATTACTCTCTATCCTTTTTTCCCATTTGAATCAACACCCCCTTCCAGCATATGAAGTGGAAAAGTCTAAGGTCTACAACAGTTGGCTTACTGTGATATCATATGGAAAGAGTAATTTAACAAAAACTAGGAAGAATTTGAAGCCAAGGTTTTTGTACTCCCTACTGTAGAAAACCTTTCTGACTCAAATATTCATCAGAAATGCCCACTGAAGGATCTGTCCAGGGGTTTGGTTTGGCCCTAGAGGGTAAGAATGCACATGTTCATTCCAGGGGAGTACTGACCCTGTGCCCCGTCTGTCTCTCTCTGTGTTCCCTCAGGTCACCAAGATGCTGGCCGTGGTTGTGATCCTGTTTGCGTTCCTGTGGATGCCCTACCGCACCCTGGTTGTTGTCAATTCCTTTCTTTCCAGACCCTTCCAGGAAAACTGGTTCCTGCTATTTTGCAGAATCTGTATTTATTTAAATAGTGCCATCAATCCCGTAATTTATAATCTCATGTCCCAGAAATTCAGAGCAGCCTTCAGGAAACTGTGCAACTACCAGCAGAAACAGGAGAAGAAACCTGCCAGTTACAGCATGGCCCTCAATTATAATGTCATCAAGGATTCTGATCATTTCAGCACTGAGCTAGAAGATATTACCAACACCTACCTGTCCTCTGCAAAACTGTCCATTGGTGATATGTGTTTGTCATCCAAGGTAAGAGTTAACACCTTTCAGTGCTGTGGGTCCCCAGGAGCAGAGCACGTTGCTGGGCATGGGGCTGTGCTGGGGTGGCTGTCAGCCAGGGCAGCCCTGCAGAGGGCTGGAGAGGCTGCCAGTGACAGGGCCTGGCAGGCAGGGACAGCTGCCCAGCTCTGGAAAGCTCTGTTTTCAAAGTCCCTGTGCCAGGTGTGGGGGGACTTGGAGGATCAGAAACATGCAGAAGGATGGGGAGAAACCATCAGGTTAAGCCTGAGCAGTGAGCTCCAGTGGAGCATCAGAAAGTGGTTCTCAGGTGTGATGCCTCAGGTGCACATCTGGCAGGAAGGTGGTGATGGTGTCTGAGCTCAATGATTCCTCTGGGCACGCTCTGGCTGGCTTCAGGGAGGGCAATGGGGCATTTTCTTGTGCCTCCCCCTTGACTCCAGCTGGGGATTAACTAGCCTGGTGCCACCACACAGCTGGTGCTAAGGAGGCTCTCCCACACACCAGCACTTTCATTCTGTACTGTGAAGCACATCTCTTTAACCCACTTTTCTTGATGATGCATATTACTGTTTGTATTATGCTTTTTTTACACAATACTACCTAAATTCTGTTTGTGAACCCATACATTTAGATCTTAAAAATATAGATGATCTACAAAGAGGCTTAGTTTTCATTTGTTTTTGCAGATTATATGAGAGTGTAAAATATTTTTTCTCAGTTTGCTTCTTCTCTTCTCATTTCCAGGCCTGAGGCCCACCTTGTTCTGAGTGTGCAGCCATATAAGATGTTTGGATGCTCTGTTCCCACCAACTGTATGAATTTTAAGGACATTTCTGCTCACAGAATTGCAGAAGCTACCATAAATCTTTACATACCTGCCTGTGCCCTACAAGAAAATGCAGCATTTTGGGGAGTAAAGAGTATATTATTGAGGCTAAGTAAATGAAGTACTTAATACAATCTAACTTTAGGCAGGAGAATGCCTAAGTCCTTCTTCCCATTGCCTGGCCAAAGAGTGGTCTGATCTCAGAATGAGCAAGGCTTGCCAGGACATGTCCATGGACACAGAGTGGGGCAGGGGATGATAATCCCTGTAAAGATGAGAGTTGAGGAGAGGAGCTGCTCTAATGTGTACCTGCACTGGGCAGTACCTGGGGGACCTTCTAACAGCAGCCAAAATTGCTGCTAATAGCAGTAATTACCTGCCGGTGACTCCCTCATCCCATATCAGTGCAAATCTCTTTGCAGCCATCACAGCATGCTTCAATAAACAGGTATCTGATGGCAAAAAGCACAAAATCTTTCCTTTCTTTTGTTTATTTTTACCTTGAGCAGTATGAAACAGGAAGAGTATTCAATGAATTTGCAGCAGGGAACAAACAAATTAAAAAAACAGGAGCATTCAAAATATCTTATTTTTTCAGTGATCAGGTTTATAGATGTACCACTTTAAATGTAAGTCTCAGCTATTACTGAATCCTGTTGGAAATTGACAGATATTGAAGAGTATGTAACAGGCTTTTAACAGCTCCTTTTATCTTGGTTCAATACCAATTGTATCTAAGAGCACTAGAAGGGGTTTAGAGATTTAATATCGATAATATCTAAGGAAAAGAGGAGAATTCAGAGAAAAATGACACTGTTTAAATGTTTAATATTTTTTAAAGTTTATCTGTTAAAATACTTTAGGACATAAAGTGTAGTCAGAAGAAAAGTCATCATGGCTTTTTACTTGCCAGCACAGCCCCTTCTCTGCTCTTCCCACACAGGCCCATGATAAGCAGCCTGGAGCCATAGTCTCCCTAATGTAGCTACAGACAAAATATCAAGTCGTGCTTTGGCTTTGCTCTAGACCAGCTCTTGTTCTTGCTAGAAGTACATTTTCTCACTTCTGTGCTGCCGAAGCCCATGAAAGTGCCTGTGTATTCCTGTGTGCCATGAACATTTTGCACAGCTTTTATACATGACATTCTAAAACCTGTAAAAAGCTGATTCACAGAATTGCAGAATAGGCTGATTTAGAAGGGACCCAGAAGGATCATCGAGTCCAGCTCCCAGCCCTGCACAGCCCATCCCCAAGAATCACAAACCTGCCCAGTGTGGGGGAAAGAGGCAGCCTCTACAGCATTGTAAGGCTTTCCTAGCCAGTATTCTTTTGCCTACACAGCTACTTCCCTAATTCAAGCCCCTTTCCCTAATATTCAACTATATTTGCAAACTTAAAGAGAACTAAAAATAGCCTGATAGGCCTCAGATTTAAATGCTAAAACCATGAACCTGTGTCAGATGCATCCAAAGGACTCTATTGAGCATTCTCTACATGGCAAGGAGGAAGGAAATTAATTGCCCAGAGAGGTTGTGGAGTCTCCCTCACTGGACATATTCAAGAACCATCTGGACTCAGTCCTGTGCCATGTGCCCTGGGATGACCCTGCTTGACCAGGGAGGTTGGACCAGATTACCAATTGTTGTCCCTTCCAATCTTACTCACTCTGTGATTCTGTGATTTTGCAAACAGTCTGTATCCTGCTCTGTCTGCATCCTTGCTTTAACTCCTGTTTTACCTTTGCAGAGCTCCACAGGCACTTTCCAGCTTGGCAGAGTGATGGCAAGGCATGGGAGGGACCAACAGCAAG